AGGCGACCGCTGGTATTGATAGTGTGGAAGCCACACGTGATCCAGCTTACACAGATTCTCTATTCTCAAATCAGGATCCTTGGAATGCAGTGGGAAATGCTTCTGTAGCGCCTCCAAGACTGAATAAGTTGGCTAAGGAGCCTGCTGTTTCTGGAGATCCATATGTGGAAGGCCATGGGCTTGCCATCAACAGTTCAAATGCTGCTACACTCTTAGAAGAAGGCAATCTTCCACTCATCCAGGACCGCACTTTTAAGGACATCTATCCTGAACCCTCTCAAATGAGCAAAGGTTTTATTCTCTTTTTCATCTTATATGATTTGGTCAGTTGTACTGTATTAACCATCTGATCATCTTAAAACTGAAACTGACTAAGCATGATTGTTTGCCCCCTTTTACTTTTGTCTTCAAAAAGGATACGGAGAAGAAACTATTAAGCGACAGTTACAAGCTGTTGCTGAGGGTGTGGCAGCATCTGTCCTTCAGTCACCTTTCCCTGAAAAACCAACCGTATTCTCTGGTGATCACACAGATAAACAAGGAGCTGTAATTGATCCAAAATTGGAGGTGGGCGGTGTTTATTTCTTTCCTTCCTGTTATAACTCTTTGTGGTTTGAGTGGTTACAAATTCCTTTCTTTGCTTTGTTCAGGATGCGGTGAACAATCAATCAGACAAAACAAGCCAAGGAGTTAAAGTTTTAGATGATATTGATAATCTTCAGGTTGGTGACAGCTGCAATCTAAAATTGTTTCATGTAAACTTTTGTTTGCAGGCAAATAGTTCACCCTTATTTTTTCACTACTGTTAATTCCAGATAATAAAGAATAGTGATCTAGAAGAATTGCGGGAACTGGGTTCTGGAACCTTTGGTACTGTTTACCATGGAAAATGGAGAGGTTCCGATGTTGCTATAAAAAGGATCAATGATCGATGCTTTGCTGGGAAGGCATCTGAGCAAGAGCGGATGGTCTGCACCTAACATACTGAATCTTTTTCATCTATTGTTAAGTTTGTCATGTTGTAAATTTGCCTGTGCTTGTAGAGAACTGATTTCTGGAATGAAGCTGACAAGCTTGCATCATTGCACCATCCGAATGTTGTAGCTTTCTATGGTGTTGTACTGGATGGACCAGGTGGATCTGTTGCAACAGTAACTGAATACATGGCTAATGGTTCTCTTCGACAAGCATTGCAAAGACATGAAAAGTATAGTAGCTGTTCAGTGCCATACTTATCACTTACCATGTTGTGATGCATATAATTCTATTTTCTTCTGCCTTCAGGATATTTGATCGGCGTAGGCGTCTCCTGATTGCAATGGATGTTGCGTTTGGTATGGAGTATTTGCATGAGAAGAACATTGTACACTTTGACCTAAAGAGTGATAATCTGCTTGTCAATCTAAGAGATCCTCAGCACCCTATATGCAAGGTGAAATCTCTTCGCTATTCGCATCACTTTTCTCTGCTTGTTTTGTAAGTGCTAAAAATTAATCAAATCAATCGTTATTCAAGTTATACTGTTATCATATGTTCTTGACAAAGAGAATAAGGTGTTTCCTTTATCAGAAAAAGAAAATGTGGTTTTATGTTACAGAAGCAATGTGTTGCTAAAGACAAAGAATCCCCAAGTGATTTGGATGTCTGAAACAAAGTTGTACTCTTAGGCACATCAGAGATGTCTTCTATTGCTGCATTTAGGGTGTAAATGAGTAGATATTTAGAGGACAGTTGGTTGTACTTATAGTGAAGACATTAAACATCTGCCTTGCGCGCAAGGCATGAATTGCTGCCATTTTGTAGTAACTGCTTCTCTTTTTGTAGGTTGGTGATTTGGGCTTGTCGAAAGTTAAATGCCAGACGCTAATATCTGGTGGGGTGCGAGGAACACTTCCTTGGATGGCCCCGGAGCTGTTGAATGGAAGCAGCAGCCTTGTTTCTGAAAAGGTTTGCCAGTGACCACACCCACATTCCTTGCGCCGCCACTTGACATGCGCTCTCTTTTCCAAAGTCACCTTTCATATGCTTTGCCTTTTTTTGACTGAAACTTCATATGCTTTTCTTGCAGGTCGATGTTTTCTCCTTCGGAATTGTAATGTGGGAGCTGCTCACTGGTGAAGAGCCTTATGCCGAATTGCATTATGGCGCCATCATAGGTACGCATGCTACTTCTTTACATAATCCACATCCCTTAATTAAATCCAATGCCATTCTTGTTGCTGAACTTTTCGCGTTCTACAACCAGGCGGGATTGTAAACAACACCCTGCGCCCTCCGGTGCCCGAGTCATGCGACCCTCGGTGGAGGTCACTGATGGAGCAATGCTGGTCGTCGGAACCGTCAGAAAGACCGAGCTTCACGGAGGTTGGCAAGAGGCTACGGGCCATGGCAACCCCCTCTACCAAGGCGCAACCTCAGAAATAAAATTTTTTTTTTTGCCCCCTCAACCTCCTGTTCTGCGGCCTGTCTCCTGTACAAAATCTTGGAAGGGAGCCATGGCTTGCTCTGTACTAGTCTGTACATGAATAAGGTAAAAAAGAGAAGAGAAAAAAATGGTAATGCCTATAGAGATGATGACGAATGCTTGATCCTCCCTGTGAGGTTGTGACGCTTTTCAAAAGGACGATGCATGGCAATGGTTGGCGTATTAGTTAGTTTCCTCTGTGGTAATGCTGATTTGATTATGCCTGAAGAGGACGAAGCGAAATGCAGTTTTGGACCTGCACGGCTATCGCCTCGGGCACAAAAATTAATAACGTGTCAAGCTTGAAATCAACCGAGCTAATGTCGGAGTAGTGTCAGTTAAGAGCAACATCACAAATTAACTTGCTCTACGTCGACGTAATCCAGAACGGACCATTTTTCTGGGGCCATGCAGTTTTCGATCTGTAGCTAATCTGGCAAAGTGAGACACGGCCCTAATTATGGTGACGTCTCGGCCTGGATTTGGGCACTTGATAAGAACGTGACAGTGGCCTAATTGAACTCCTGGTCACGCTAAGCTGCCAAGACGACTGGATGTTGGTGAATGGTGACACGCCGTCAGAATCAAATTGTGTGTCACGGCCGAGGAATGTGACTCGTTTGACACTGACAGATAAACCGGCTTGGCTAGTGTCCCAGTCAAGAGAGCGACCCAGGATCCAGCAACTAGTACTAGAGTTATTGGTTTACTATTACACAGCTTTCTTGTTTTGTTTGTTCCGTGGTCTTGTGACCGAGACAGCACGTCGCGGAATTAACTGTGTGTCAAACAACAATTTACTCGCTCCGTTTAACGGTATTTATCAGGTCCATTGCCAAGAGTCATAGACAGTTAGTAATATTTGATACTTCTTTATATATTCTTGATATTAGTAGAAGTCGTTTCAGACATACCTGCAAAAAACAAGGAAGTATAGATCAAATAACTTCGATTATACAACATAACACTGAAGAATATGAAACAACCTTGCTCCATTCTATGAGTCCCATTGGTTGGCCTAAGAAGCCAAAGCAAAAGCCAATTTTTAAATTTTAAATCTTGAATTTGAAGTTGATTTTAACATGTTTTCGCGTAATTTCTTTTTAGCATTGGCTTTTAAGTCGTTACGGATAAATAAATAAAAGTTTTACCTATAAATTAACTCTTATTCTCTAATAAGCCATCTTGGCTTATTAGAAAATATGAACAACCAATAAGGCTCTACGGATTATACTCTGAAGAATTCAGGTGGTGTTCTTTTCTTCTGAAGATGAAGATTAAAGTTTTTACGCAAAACGAGGTGGTATTAATGTACAATTGATTGAGTTTTAATTATTACAAACTTGAAAAATAGATTAATATGATATTTTAGAGCAACTTTCATATAGAAAGTTTTCGCACGAAATACACCGTTTAGCAGTTTGAAAAGCGTGCCACAAAAATCTTAATATTAATCCAACTCTTCTTGGAGAAAAGAACGGGACCTCAATGTTAAACTTTAGGGATTTTGTTTATCACTTCTGTTGTTAATATCTAAAATATTTTTTTAAGAAACATTTAGACGTAAAAAAACACTTTGGGTTATAACCCACAACAAAGACAAGCGTACTTCCAATGTCAGGGAATATTTAGTTCTTGTTCGGTTTGGAGGAAAACAAAGATTTGGATTTGTAAGGATTAATTCTTATAAGTACCATTTGGTTTGTAGGAATGTAAGTATAGAAAAATCAAAGAAAATTTTCCTTTCCTATAAGTTCTAGATAAAAAAACATAGATAACTTTTAATCCACTCAAACTTCTTGGAAAGTTCCTATATTGAAGTGGGCATATTTCTCTATTTTTCTATTCCTATGGTTTGAAATTCTTTCAAACTGAATAAGCTCTAAAGTGCTTAGAAGTTTTAAAACATTTTATACTTGAAATATACCACCTTCTTCGTTCTAAAATATGACAGTCCAAATATATAGACAAAATTATTATATTTTGGAACCAAAGGGAGTAGTTGAAAATGCTAAAACTATTTCCATTTGAAAAAAAAGTACTACATAAATCCCAATATCAGTACAGTCGTAGATTTCCGCGTCCAATATTTGACCGTCCTTATTTAAAAAAAATATGATTAGTATTTTTGTTGCTATAAGATGATAAAACATGAACAATACTTTATTTGTGACTAATTATTTTAATTTTTTTAAATATGACAGACGGTTAAATGTTGGACACGAAAACTCACAACTGCACTTATATTGGAACGAATGTAGTTTTGCATATGCCTACTATAAGCTAGTACTATCTCATATTCCCTTCGTCAGAACAAGTTAATCTATTACTCTATATGACTACCTATTTTTAGTATATATATATATCACATCTCGTACTCTGATATGGAGGTAGTACGTAGTAGCACAAATGCACAATCCAATCACAAAGAAAAATGCTGAACAATTGCCTTTTTTTTTTGTCTCCGGCCCATGTGAGAACAAATCTCAATTCCCCTTTGCCTCCTAGGCCCGGCCCAAAAACGTTCCACCGTTCTCGTGCACGGGGCACGGCGCGTCGCTTCGCTCCCCGGCCGACTCCTCCTCCCACCTCGCCTCTCCCCCCCGCGAAACCATCCCAAATCTCCCGCGCCGCCGCCGCCGCCGCCGCCGCGCGCGAGCGAAACCCAAACCAACTCGCCGGCAACGCAACGCCGGAAGGGAAGGGAAGGCGGCGAGCGATGCCGCGGCTGATGCCGGAGGACGCGTCCCTGCTCCTGGACCACGTGGTCGGCGACCCCTCCGTCCCCGCCGCCGCCGCCAACGCGGCGCTCGCGGCGCTCCCCTTCCCGTCCCGCCCCACCCCGCGCCTCCTCAGGGCATCCCTCCTCCGCCGCCTCGCCGCCGACCCGGTCTCCGCCGCCGCCCTCGACTCGCTCCAGCTCCTCGCCTCCCTCCCCTCCTCCCCTTCCCCCGCCGCCCCCGCCGCCGCCGCCGCCGCCGCCGCCCACCTCGCCGTCGCGGCCTACCTCGCAGTCTCCGCGCCCGACTTCGACGCCGCCGCGGGGGCCCTCTTCGGGCGCCCCGGCGGCCGCGCGCGCCGCGCGGTCGAGGAGGGTGGGGCCGCCGCGCTCGCCTCCGACGAGGCCGATGCCGTGGCCGACCAGTTCGAGGCCGCGGTGGGGAATTCGTTCTCGCAGACCGTGCTGAGGGGGCTCTGGGGCGACCGGGCCGCGGCGGAGGAGCGGGTGAGGGAGCTCCTCGCCGTCGAGTGGGCGGCGATTGGGCAGTCCCGGCTGGAGATGGCGGCGGAGAGGATTGTTGGGGATGGCGCCATTGAGACATGGAGGGCCGCAGATGAGGTCACCCGAGCCAAGTATCGCTTGCTCGGTAAGAATCTTATCGCGGCATATATTTGCGGTAGCTTGGCGCGTAAAATAACAGTATTTGTCAGCAAATAGAGATACTAGTAGTGGCTTTTAGAGTTTATTAAACTGGATGAACAAAGAACAGTAGTGTTTTTTTTATCCCAGGAGTAGCAAGGAGATAGACCTTATCTTGAAGGAGTAGTAATTCAGATGGAACTGTTATTCTGTAAAAATATGTACATTGTGCATTTAGTAATCCTTGAAGTTTCGTGCAGTTTGTTAGGTCACAATTACATTGTATGGTTGAATTATTTAGATGTTGCGGTACAAATCAGTGAGTAGAAACATGCTAGTTTGGACCTTTGCCCGCTCTATATAGCCAGTAGAGTTTGATTCTTGCTTTGTGATTTACCTGTGCTTCATTTCATGGAAGTACCATACAGGGCTTCCTTCTGCTTCTGTTAATTGAAAATAGGAACTATGGGCAAGAATTTAGAGCTCATGTTCATTTAGGTCTATAAATCTGTGTTCAAAATGTTGCCTTTGGAACTGCTATATCCTCTTACTACTAGATTATTTTATACAGCAGGCCAAGCTATGCGATTTTAATCTCTCACATAATATCTGTTCTGGTTTGCAATTTTGCATACATCATTAGTGTGGGTACATTTTACTTGAGCTGTTGTTATTTGGTGAGTAGTTGCTCCCCCTATGTTTTGGAATTTGTTTCTGCATGTCTTTGTCCATCAATCCTTTTGCTCGAGCAGTTAGCTTCAATTTTTTTAAAACGTTTTATAGCTTATTGTGCACATTGGAACCTTCAGCTGGGGAACAAAGAGCACGTGAAATTGAGGGCAAACTTGGAGAAACTATCCCTCAAGGAAATCAAATTTCGACACCAGAAGTTCATAAGGTGATGGACGCCCTTAAATCAAGCTGTGCTAACCTTCATAGTGTAGTAGAGGACCCACTTCCAGCTGCAAAGGCAGCAGCAGATGAGGTACTGGCTGCAAGGATGGATAAAGCAGTCGATCTAAATGCGGGAGAAGTTAGTAATCAGCCAACGGCTTGTGACATCGCTGGTCCAAGTGCTCCTGCGGACAATTTGGATGCTCCAAGGAAAGGCACAGCAGCCAGCCTTATGGATTGGAATCCAACAGCAAGGACGTTTCAGGTGAGCTTTCTTCATGTATTTGTCATTATTTGCCTTTTTGAGAATGGTCCATGTTTCACTCTTTTTGATTGATTTTGTGATAATTGTTGCGCATCTTGATTACCCCTTTTTACTAGAAAGTATACTCAGTGTCCTTCAATGCCACAATTCATAACACCCATGGTTTTCTGAATATAAACTGTTCTCGATGTCTCTGCTTTTAAGCCTTTTGTTTTTCTGCTTTGTGATAGTCTGGAGGACTCGTGCTTTCTTGTAGAAGCTGCTTTATAACAAACATGTAGGATCTGGAATTTATTCATCCTATATTGCATGCATGAGTACTGAAATTAGATTGATGAATCCTTTAGATCCTTAATATACTTTTCTAGAATATAGTGTTTCTGGTTTCTCCATGGAGACAAGACTAGCCGATTGCATATCAAGAAGTAAAATTTATTATAAATTAGAATTAACATCGACTTAGTGTTGTAGACATTATAAAGCTTTCTGTTAGTATGTAGATAGCTTTGTAGCATAACTCAAAAGCATTAGATTTTGGACATGTTGCTCAAAAGGCGCTTGTTTGCAGTGGGAGGACTCACCTGATCCTGACGGCTCACGTTCACCGATACATAGACCGCAGTTGCCTAGCCCAAGGAGAACAACATTTTCTCCTCTGCAACCGGCAGATAACAAAGCGAAGCGTAGAAAGGCAAGGAAGTGGTGCGCGTTAGAAGAGGAAACATTAAGAAAGGGTGTCGAACAGTATGTTCTTTTTGTCTTGCTGTTGTAATCTGTTGTTAGTTTGGTATAACTTTCTTGTTCTACATATTGCCGTTTGGATTGCCTCTATACACACAATTTCTGCAACTGTTATATTGTGCTAACCATTTCTATGCGCGTGGTTTTTCTTTTCATGTGAAGGTATGGTAACGGCAATTGGAAAGATATTTTAACCAACAATCCTGATGTTTTTATTGGTCGAAAAGCGGTGAGCATCTGGATATCAGTATATCATATTAAGTCCCTTTTTTTAAATGTTTTTTTCATAAAGTAATTGCCTGTTGTATCTTGTAGATGGACTTGAAAGATAAGTGGAGAAACATGATGAGGTAGGGATCAATGACAAGGCACCAGAGAGAGTTCTCTTTCATTCTAGCTGAAGAACCTTTAAGAAGCCCTAGGGCATATAATTCTGGTGGTTCGATACGCTGAAGCACCAAGCCCTTCTACTGCTGAAGACTGAGGAGCAGTTGGGTTTGATGCATTTCTTTTTGTGCTCCACCGACATATCCCCAGTAGATTCGGGCGAGAATTCGTCAGATTAGTACCAGATGCTTACAAGTCATGGTTTTAAGCCCCCCTTGTAATTTGGAACAGATTCTGAATTTCTGGTGCTGTATGTATTCATTCAGTGAGAATCTGTATCCAGCTTTTGCTGTCTATATTATCCCTACTGTCGTAATTAATCATCAATGCTCGCTTGTTCATTTTGCCACTACCAGAATGCTAAACCTGGTACATTGACCATGCTGGTTGTGAAGGTTCATAAACAAAGGTGATTAGGTGAAGCATTTCTTTTCGTAATCTCATGCCACTAGAAATTAGAGACGAGTATACTCCCTCCGTTTCATATAAATCATTTTGACTTTTTTTCTAATTTATTTTTTTTAGTTTTGACCAAACTTGTAGAAAAACATATTAACAATTCCAACACAACACAAACATACTATCAAAATATATTCAAACTATATTTAATGAAACTAACTTGGTGTTGCAGATGTTACTGAATTTTTTATAAACTTGGTCAAAATTTAAGAAGTTTGGTTAAAAAAAAAACGGAGGAGCAGTAGCACAGTGTTGTATGCAGATAGGGTTAAGCGAGACGGGCCTCCGGCCCACATGCTACATGGGCCATGGGCCTCAAGCCATTCGGCCCAGCAGAATCCCTCGCCGCGGCATCCTCTCCCCACGGCAGTGGCCGTGGCTCAGTAGGCCGCCGCTTTCTTCTCCACCACCGACGGAGACGCCATGCCGCCGCCGCCGTCTTCCCTGCCTCCCCGCGTCCTCCCCAACCTTGTCTCATGCTCCAGGAGAGCCGTGACATCGGCTGCCACCGCAGCAGCCGCAGCCTACTCGACAGCCGCCGCCGCGGGGGGCGGCGGCGGCGGCGGCCGCCCTCTCCGCTACGCCGTCCTCGGCGCCGGGTTCGCGGGGCTCTCCGTCGCTTGGCACCTCCTCAAGGTCCTCCTCCCTTCTCCTATCCTCATCCTCTGCTTCAGACGAGTTACCTGCCACTGGAATCACCTCCTGAGCCGACGCCTTCGAAAATTTCTGATTGATTCCAGTATAGCCCCAAGGGTTCCCGCGTGCGCGTCGACATCTACGACGAGAGCGGCATCGGCGGTGGCGCATCGGGCGTTTCCGGGGGGCTTCTCCACCCGTACTCACCTAAAGGTCTCCCATCTCCATCACCTGAAGCATTGCAAATTATGATTTCACCAACTTATTATGCAACTACCAGTTGAGCCATTTAGTTCCAGCTTATAATTAGTGTGAATGCGTGATGCGCAAATCGAATTCTCGTTAACCGCAGTGAAGCTTCTATGGAAGGGTGCTGAATTCTGGAAAGAGTGTATGGATCTGCTGCGTTGCGCGGAGCAAGCGAATGGAGCCGCTGGGGCAGATGGAGCTAGCCAAGATGAGACCCTTATCTGGAGAAGGCAATTCCTTGTTCTTTGTAGATAGACTTGTTATGGATTTACTTATTGCTTCTGTTTGGCATGTCTTTTGTGGGCTGCTGTATTTGTGTGTGCACATTATGAGAAGTGGTTTAACTGAACTGAGCAGGGGAATTATACGGCCGCCTACAAGCGAGAAAACTGCTGACATATTGCTGGAGGTACTGCTGAATTAAGATTGTGCTGATATGCTCAGGTGCTTCCTTTTTTGTTTCTGGTGTACGATCTTGACTGCTTCGACCTATCCAAGTTAGAATGCTCAGAGTTCCCTCCAGAGTTGCAGCCTTCAAGTTCTTGATTCAGACGAGGCACAGTGTCTGATCCCTGGGTTATGTGTTCCGTTGAACTTTGCAGTTTACATGCCATTAGCGCTGAACATCAACCCTAAGAAATATTTACAGGTGGTGTGCTCCTTCACGCTATCTCGTTGTCAATGATTTGTCATCTATTCTTGATACCCATTCTTGGGGGCTCTGCAGGCTTTGTTCTTCGCATGCCAAAATATGTCTGATGAAGCATCATTATCATCCAGCGAACAGAAAGAGTGCAAGCTGTACAACGAACACGTCGATGATCTACAGCAATTGGCAGGTAAATTCTCGCTCAATCACCTGATTGAGCAAGGACAAACATGGACCTTGTTATACCATGCTTTCAATTTTGGCTTTTCCATTAACATTAAACTGAAAGTGCACACAGTGTCTACTCCTGAAGCAAAAGCAAAGATTTGTTCTTGTCAATTTACAATTGTTAATTTCAGAGACCTCTGTTAAGAAAAATGTTAAAATGCAACACTTGTATGGTTCACTGAAGCTGCTTCAGTATGGACTTCTTCTAACCTAAAGATCCTATCAAACATCTGCAGGTGATTATGATTCAGTAATTATCTGCCTTGGTGCTAGAGCTAGCTCACTTCCAGAACTCACAAATAAGCTACCTCTTAGAACATGCCGAGGAGTTATAGCTGAATTCCAGTTGCCATCAGATACAATGTAAGGGAAATTCTTTGTGTTTAAGAATTGAACTTAAGTCATTACAGCATCAACTGGGATTATCTAATTGGTGTGTTTCATTCCTGCAGAGAAACATATGGCAGTCAAAGTCCTTCAATCTTATCTGATGCTTGGCTGGCATTCCAAGGTCCTCGTACCGTTTCCATTGGGTCGACTTGGCAGTGGAAGTCAGAAAACTATTCTTCATCTGTATCTGATGATGAAGCTCTCAATGCAATGGAAGAGCTGCTCCCAAAAGCCTCTGCTGTTTATCCAGGAATAACTAAATGGAAATTTGTACAAGCAAGGGCTGGGATAAGAGCAATGCCTCCACTGACAGCCAACGGATCATTGCCGCTGTTGGGTTGTTTGAATGATGTGATAGGCAAGAGGAGCAACTGTAGTTTTTGGCTAGTTGGTGGCCTTGGTGCCAGGGGTCTTCTGTTCCATGGTTTGGCTGGAAAGCTTACTGCCAAGGCTGTAATTTCCTGCGACGAAAACCTAATACCTCCTGAATTCACTTGCTGGAAAGAACCTTAGAACTTCAAATGAGCAAAGGAACTTGGAGGATGGTGGTAGTCGAACTGATCCTTAAGTGCTATCCTGTTCCTGTTTTGGAATGTCAGATAAAGTGCTACAGCATATCGAAATATGAAGCTAATCTGGGTCAATCCACATGGCATGAGCTATAACGTAGGAAACAAAGAATTCAGTGGAGTAGCGATGCCTTCCGTAGGACTTCCAGTGAGCGTCTCAAATGCCTGGATATCTTCAGACGCCATCTCCCAATTAGCAGCTTATCTCTCATTCCAGGAAACATAGTTCAGGCCTACTAATCTTCTCCTGACATCTTAGATTTTTAGTACTGTAGTTGAATACTAGTATTTGAATGTTGTGACTTCGTCGTTATTTTTCCGGCCATCAATTTGTACTCTTACAAAGAATTCGAATCTCTTCTGTAAACTTCAGGGAATGAAGGGCCTGTTTACTTTGAAGCCATTTTCAACCTTACCAAATTTTGGTAAATTTACCAAAAAAGTGGCTACATTTAGTTTGCTACCAAGAGCCTGTTCACTTTGATGCCATTTTCAACCTTACCAAATTTTGGTAAAGTTGCCAAAAAAGTGGCTACATTTAGTTTGCTGCCAAATTTTGGTAACTATATAAGAAATCCTACCAAAATTTTGGCAAGTTACCAAAATTTTGGCACATTTGCTAAAATTGCCAAAATTTGGTAAGGTTTTTTTAGCATCAAAGTGAACAGGCTCCAAATTTTGGTAACTATATAAGAAATTCTACCAAAATTTTGGCAACTATGCCAATGACAAAATTTGGTAAGGTTTTTTTTTTGCATCAAAGTGAACAGGCCCGAAGTTGTGAGTTTTGCATGTAACATATTGCCCATGTCGCAAACTCTGTTCATTTTCAATAAACCCTGTATTTTTTTAGTCGATGAAGCCATGAAGTCACATTGCTGGTAAGATATACTACCTCCGTTTTTTAATAGATGACGCCGTTGACTTTTTTTCACATGTTTGATCATTCGTCTATTCAAAAAATTTACGTAATTATAATTTACTAGAAAAAATGCCCGTGCGTTGCATCGGGAAAACTAATTGTTTAGTTTCATGACCTCTTGCATGCGTAGTATTTTGATATCATGGATCATGATGTTGACCCACATGGCAAGCTATCTCCTAGCGCTTGCTTCACTTAATTGCAAATATCTCTTCGAACTAATAAATGGTGTGTTACTAAAGCTGAATATGATTTATCATGTGAGGAGAAACATAATATCAATTCAAATTTGTTAATGATAACACTAATATGAAGATAACCAAGGATCCACCTAGGCATTGAGAAAGACAAGCCACCAGATCTGTATTCCAATTCGATCAGGATTGCATTGTAGCCAATCATAAATCTAATTTGATCATACATATTTAAAAAGTAATGTATGCTATTATATGTATACCTTTAAAAAAATTGCATTAGAATTTTCATCAAATTAGGTTCCTTCAAATTGTAAGAACTATTCTTTGTGTTATCGATGATAAAATGCTAGGTTTTTTTTTATAAAAAAGATGATAATGTATAGAAAAATATAGTAGAAAATTATATATATATATATATATATATATATATATATATATATATATATATATATATATATATATATGTATGTATGTATGTATGCCGGTTTAACATGAATTTCATCCTGACATTTGAAAGATATTCCTTATGTTATCAATGAAAAAAAAATACAAAGTTGGTGATAAAACGTAAAACAACACAGTAGGAAATTACATATATTACTGGTTTCATATTAATTGCAATCACATGGACGTACTTTTCCAAATGAATTAATAAGAGGAGGTGGTAAAAAAACACAGTGGGAAATTAAAAATATTGCTGGTTTAATATTAATTTTAAACATATGGATGTACTTTAAAAAAATATAATCAAGCTTAGAAGAGAGAAAAAACACTACAAGATAATTGAGCTATTGCCACCAAATTATTACAACAAAAAATAATTCGTAGCAATATATTGCACTATTGCAATGATAATTTTTCTGTGGCAAATAATTATATTTTATTGCAATGATCTACAATCGTTGTTTTATTTAGTACTTTTGTTGCAATAGAAAGTAAGATGTCGCCACAAAAAATCGTACTGTTACAAAAAACATGTTCTATCGCCATAATTTTAATTTTTGTGGCAATTTACATAGTACTTGGTACTTTTCACTATTTTTTGTTGCCACGATCAACAAATTCGTTACAATAAAAAATTATCGTCTCATAATTTAACTTAATTTTTTTCATATGGACAAGGATTGAGACAAATTTTATGTGGAAATTATAGCTTTCAACGATATCTACAATTTTGTAGGTGATAAGTTTTTCATTTGAAATCTTTTAGATATTCAAAATTATGATTCAAATCTCAGTTAGGTAGGCTTAAATGGAACGATATGTATTTTCTAACAGAATTGATGCCTAGGTGAGTTGATAAAGGAGAGCACGCATGAAGGATAGGTCTGGGGTTCGAATTCTAGCCAAGACACGATATAAAAAAAATAAATAGATAAATAGATAGGATGCTAGATTAATATTTGAAGTTTTAATTTGGTACGTAAAACTAATGCCACATATGGAGTGGTGGCAATAATGTTTATCACAACGATGTGAAGTGTTGCAATATGACTTTTTGCCACATCCATTCCGTGGCAAGATCTAAATTTATTATCACTAAATAAAAATCGTTGCAATAACCTATTACTACGCTATTTATTGCCACGGCTAGCAACGATTTTAAAATTGTGGCAACATGTATCTATTACCACAATTTTAGTATTGATGCCACGATTTTTTTCATGGCAACAAATGATTTTTTTTAGTAGTGAAAAAATAGGACATACTTTTCAAAAAAAATTAATAAGAGGAGGTGATAAAGTGTAGAAAAGCACAATAAGAAATTACATATATTGTTGGTTTAATATGGATTTTAAATATATGGATGTACTTTAAAAAAATATAATCAGCTTAGGAGAGAAAAAGGAAAAATAGAAGAGAGGATAAGCAGCAGAAAACTAAGGGGTGGTGGCAGTAGAACTCCAAACCTACCATTCAGAAGCTTCGTTGGCTAACCAACTGGGAATTGTGATGCTTGTGTCATAGGGCGTTGCTAAAATTTAATAATATGAATATTTTTAGTGAGGCAACTTCCAATCGGACTCGTTAAATGGACGGTCAAAACGGATCGTTCGCGTGGATAAACCGGAGGACGGACGAAATTTACTACCGGAAACCTTGCGTATTTTTTAATTAGGTATATAGATTTTGTTATGAGTTGTTTTATCACTCATAGTATTTTAAGTGTGATTTATATCTTATACATTTGCATAAAATTTTTGAATAAGACGAATGGTCAAACATGTGAGAAAAAGTCAACGGCGTCATCTATTAAAAAACAGAGGGAGTATATCTACACAATTTGCAAATTTCAACTGAACACTTGTATATAGGGTATATATAGACATGCACAAATATACACAGTTGACAAGATATATGTACTGAAAAACTGAACAGATGAAATATGTATATACCAGCAGATGGACTGAATTTTTTTTGTTTTTTTTGTTTTTCTCACAAGCTCATTCCCGCTCAAAACCACGCAAACACGAGACGTACGCTTACGGCAACATGAACAAGCTCTCCGGCCACCGGCGTTCAGCTTCACCACCGAGTCGATCTGCAATACATGCAACAGCCGCCGGCTCAGTCGTCGTCTTCTCCGTCTCCGGCCAGCCGGCCGGTGTCCGGCCGGCCGGAGGAGAGGATGCATGGGTTAAGGTTTTCGAAGGGTTTGCCTATATACCTTGCGACCTCGGCGCGCTTGGCGGCCTGCTCGGAGAGCTCCTCCTTACCGGCGGCGAGGAGGTCGGAGACGGCGGCGGCGGCGGCGGTTGCGGCGGCGGGGCTGGGTGAGCTCCTCCTCCTTGTGTCGTGAACGCCGTGTGCGCGAGACAAACACCCAGGATTCCCTCACTGGAGACGACGCACGCCACACACAACCATCATCATCAATAGCGTTCACAACAATCATGGCGAAAACTACAGGAAACGATAGGGGAACTCTTTTAATCACCCGGTGGACATCTTGCACGTGTTCTAAATAGTTATGAAAAAATTTAAAAAAAAAACATGATAGATCAATATGTAATATATCACTCCACAAACATGCAATTTAAAATTCAACTTTTACAAGTTGTTATTTTTGTTACAACTTGTAGATGTTGAATTTGAACTTACATGTATGTGGAGTGATATACTACATATAGATATATCTTGTCAATTTTTTTGAATTTTTTCATAATCATTTAGTTGACATATAATAAACGGGTGGACATCCACCCAAGTGATTAGAATCCATCTACGAAACAATATTCATTCCTTCAGGAAAGGTCCTCTCGTTTTTTTCGCGTCGCTTAAAAAGTTAGCAAAGATTCTTTTAAAAAATCAGCTAGATAGATCAATATGTGACATGTCACTTCATAAAATGTATGTTCAAATTCAACTTACATAACTAGAAGAAGAAAAAATAGAGTAAATTTCATAAAATCATGGGTAATTTTTGGTCAAATTATTATAAAACTATATATTTAATATGATGCATCAAATTACCACTAAAATTATTACACTACTAAAGATTTAAGGTGAAATATTGTAAAACTACAGATTTTAGCAAAAAAGTTATCATAAACTACAAATGTACTCCCTCCGTTTCACAACGTAAGACTTTCTAACATTGCCCATATACATATAGACGTTAATGAATCTAGACATATGTATATCTTTAGATTCATTAGCATCTAAATGAATATGAACAATGCTAGAAAGTCTTACATTGTGAAACGGAGAAAGTAATATCAATTTAAACATAAAACTTGGACATTTATAACTATAACATAGCACTAGAATTAAAGATTTGAACTCCAAAATATATAGTTTTGTGATAATTTTATAATTAAATCTATAGTTTTACGACATGTAGTTTCGTGATAAATTTATTGTTAAATCTGTAACTTTGTGATACATCACTTTACATGTAGTTCTAATAATTTAGCCTAAGTATATGTAGTTTTGTGAAATTTACTTAAAAAATAATAAATTCGACTCTAAATATAACACGTAATTCGTAGTCAGTTTTTTTCGTTTCTAATTATAAAAGTCGAATTCGAATTTACATGTTTATAGAATAACATATCATATATTGATCTATCTTACTAAATATTTTTTTCAAATTTTTTAATAACCTTTTAAACATCATACATACATAAGACGAGGGGGATATCCTCCCCTCCCCTCTCGAGGAAAAAAAAAAGAAAGAAAAAATCCATCTCCAAGTCTATCTAAGGTTGAGAGGTCGGCGGCGGCGAGCTTGCCTTTTTCTGGGCGCTGTCCCCGGCCTTGCCGCCGGTGAGGGCGTAGCGGATGATGAACTTGAGGACGTCGAGCGGGAGGTAGGTGACGACGCTGAACTGCC